CTGCCCAGGGATCCCGGCAATCGTAGGTTCTGCCCGAGCTGTCGTTGAGCAGGGGAATAGCCCGAGCGGTTGAAGAGGCGGTCCTTGGCAGCTTCCACACTTCGCAAACACTCTTCCCATTCCGCTTGTGAGGAGATGCCCGCCTGGTTCCCTGCCTTGATGAAAGTCCCCTTGGCTAAACCTCCATGTCGCTCCGCGCGCCCGTTTTGCCACGGAGCCCGAGCGCTGATAGTGCGCACTAGCCCTCCATGTTCTGCAGCTCCCTGGGCAAATGATCCTATGAATTCCCTTCCCTGCTCCATCACAATCATCTCCGGCATGCCGAAGGTCCTCACCCAACTCCTTAGAAATGCCATCCATACGCTGTCGGACATCATGTCGGGGACAGGTTCCAGCATTTGATAGCACGTTCCCCAGTCAATGACGTTGAGGACCGGCTTCTGCTCCTTGGGGTTGATGCCTGGGAAGAACATAATGTCTACTTCTTTTTATTCCTGTTCGCAGTGCTCGCGCTTGAACTCCTTCTTGAGGTAATTGAGCACCTCGGGTCGGGCTCAAGACATTCGCATCGCCCTGTGGAAGTCCTGGATGCTGGGATGTCCCAAGTTAACATGCAGCTTGCGAATCAGGCTTCTCTCCTTTCGGGACACTCCACTGAGATCTTCTCCTTCCTGTTCTCCTTCACCACCTCCGATGTCCTGAGCCAGACATCACGAACGTAATTTCGCCATTTCGCGCTCCCCAGTGGCACGGCGCCACGCAAACGCACTTCCCACCAAGGCTGCACAAATCCCCATGGCACTGCAACATCACGAACGTACTTTGGCCAGACGGTCTGTCCACACATGACACCGCCAAAAACCGCCAATGGCCAATGATCCCGCTCACCAGCGACACGCCGCGTTTACGCCAGCATGTTTCGCGCTCCCCAGTGGCACGGCGCCACGCAAACGCACTTCCCACCAAGGCCGCGCAAATCCCAAGGGCACTGCGACATCACGAACGTACTTTGGCCACACGGTCTGTCCATACACTAGAAGCAAAAATCACGATACCACTAATCACTAATCATCCCGCTCCCCAGCAACACGCCGCGTTTACGCCAACGCGTTTCGCGCTCCCCAGTGGCACAGCGCCACGCGAACGCACTTCCGCAGCGGGTTGCGCGCACACCGGACAGAGTCGCACTCTCGTATATGCATTCCGCGCACTCGACACGCACGATCTCCGCAGAGGCTTGCGCGGGCCTGGGACAAATCGCACTCTCGCCTGCATTTCGCGCTCGCGACACGCACAATCTCCACAGAGGGCTGCGCGCACACCAACAGAATCGCCCTCCGCAAAGGGATGCGCCGGAACCGGACATATCACACTCTCGCCTGCATTTCGCGCAATCGACATGCACGATCTCCGCAAAGGGTTGCTCCGGAACCGGACATATCGCACTCTCGCCTGCATTTCGCGCAATCGACACGCACGATCTCCGCAAAGGGTTGCGCCGGAACCGGACCAATCGCACTCTCGCCTGCATTTCGCGCACTCGACACGTACGATCTCAATCTCCGCAGATGGTTGCACCGGAACCGGACAATCGCACTCTCGCGCCTGCATTTCGCGCACTCGACATGTACGATCTCCGCAGAGGGTTGCGCCGGAACCGGACAAATCGCACTCTCGCCTGCATTTCGCGCACTCGACACGCACGATCTCCGCAGAGGGTCGCGCGGGCACCGGACAAATCGCACCTGCATTTCGCGCACTCCATGCGCACGTTTTGCGCAGAGGGTTGCATTTTCGGTTGACGCTGTTCGTCCCACCCTCCGCCTTTAAAGAGAATTTAAAAAGTGGGGGAATGTTTTTCATTAGGATATCTCCCGTGGAAGTTTTCAGGCTTATGCTTACACTTGCATACTTACACTCGCATGCTTACACTTGGATGCTTACACTTGCATACTTGCACTTGGACGCTTTCACGCTTACACTTGGATACTTACACTTGCATACTTGCACTTGGATGCTTTCACTTGCAAACTTTCACTTGGATGCTTTCATGCTTACACCTGGATACTTACACTTTGCATACTTGCACTTGGATGCTTTCACTTGCAAACTTTAACTTGGATACTTCAGTGCCATTGTAAGTATAGAAGTGTAAGTGTTCAAGAGATTTTCCGGAAGAACCCTTCACAATGCTTCGGGGAACAAAGCGAAAGGGGAAAGCGCCACGAAAAGTCTAAGACTTCGAGAAAAAACACCAAATACAATGCGTTTCACACGCTCAACTGCTCGACGGCCAAGCGTCTCTGGCTCGCTTTGCACCTTGAGCCGCACGCCATTGCCAGCCCAGCCAATGGGCTCCTCGTAGCCCATAGGATACCAATTCAACGTCCGTGTGCGGCCGCCCTGAAAGCTGGTGGCCGCGACACCGCGCAGGTCACGCGAGGCCAAAATGCAATTCCTCGCAACTGGAAGGTGAGACCAATGTTTGAGACACACAAATGGGAACAAGAAGCTGCTAGGGACCCCTGGCATCGCTACTAGGAGCAAGGACGCTGCTAGGGGCTCGTGGCCGTACCACTAGTAGAAAGAAGCTGTGGGTCAAAGCTGGCAATCCTTGGTTGACTACCAAATGTACATGGAATGTACCCATGAAGCCGAGAATTGACCAGTTTCCACCGGTTTCCGAAAACCAGCCATATCCCCCAGTCCACCACTCTTCCCAGCCAAGCTGCAAGAGTGTGCTCTTTCCCGCATTGGAGCGGCCCACCAATGCAATCTCTGGACCAGCTGCTTGTGGCACTTGCCTGCAGCTTGACTCACGCAACAAACCGATCCGAACCGACTCCGATAAAGAATGCCATGGTGTCGGCTTCGTGTCCATCAACGGGTGCACAGGTCCCCCAAAGCAACGAAACACCCAAAAACTCCCTCACACAAATCACCGCTTCCGCTTCCCAAGTCCCACGCCACGTGGCCAAAGGTATCTGACTTTCGGGCGCTTCCCCAGCAAAGGCTCCGCCGGCCCCACGGACGGCTCCGCGGACGGCTCCGCGGACGGCTCCGCGGACGGCTCCGCTGAGGGCTCCGCATGGACGCACACAACGCGACGTGGAAAGGAGCCACGGCGTTGGCGCCGCAACCGCCCGGTGATCCGCAGTGAACTCGCTACGACCTTCGGGCGGTGCACTCGGACGCGGCGCGTGAAAGGTCAAGCAAAAACGAGCGATCAAGGTCACGAACCTGACCAATTCCAGTCAGAACCCCCCCATTCTGGCAATCTCCAAATACAAAATCGAAGAAGCCTCTCCAGAATCCAAACCCGTTACAATGTATAGGGACACCCAATCGCTCTTTTCAGCGAGCTTTGTTGGTATCGTGTCTAGGTGGCGCCTCTTTTGAAGTCCTGTGCGCCACCTAGCAACAACAGGCAACCTCAAACACAGGCCGCGGAAAGGTGGTGTCAGCCGTTGGTGGTAGGGAGCTTGAGCATGGCGAAATCGCTCTGTCGTGTTCCTAAAAGCCAGGGACATTCAACTGCTCTTTTCAACCAGCTTTGCTGGTATCGTGTCTAGGCGGCGCCTCTATTTAGGCCTTCTGTGCCCAACTGGTCCTGCCGTTGCGACTCCACGCGGCGTGTGTTTGAATAATAAGTTCTATAAGCCTTTTCGAGAATTTTTGCTTTTCTGAAAACCTGACACTCATGGCCAGCACTTCTGGGAAACTCTCCATTGCCAGCAAAATCAACTTGAGGAAGATGGAATGTCAGTCATGAAGGCGCTAGCAGCCACCTCTTGTAAGTATATGTCCATGACCTTCAGCAAAAGCCAGCGGCCGCGCCGCCCCACAAGTCACAAGCTCTGCAGATTCCGAACCTGGTCGAAATGATGCCGCCTGAGCATAGACAAGCCCACCTTTTCTTGAGGAGGCGTCCGTGGCATAGACTCTTCTGTCAGAGGAAGGCACAGCAATTTTTGAAGCAACCAAAGGACCAAGACAGGCCAATACAAGTAGCTCTTCAGCAGCTCCACAGGGAAAGGGCCTCAGCTTAGACTCACTCGGAGAGAGCTCTGTAGCCATGACTTGAAACAACTTGTTCATGTGGGCAGTCACAGGTCTCCGGTAAAGAAGACATGAAGCCCATCCGAGGTACAGTGGCGCCCAAAGACACAATGCCCTGCCTCGCAAGTTTCTCGCTCACCTCAGCACCAATCATCTTGTAATTAAGGAATTAGAAACCTCTTTGTCATCGGATCATTGGCTCCCTGCTACCGGAAGAGCTCCACATTGTCCTCCACCAATGGCACGCAAGCGTCTAGTTCCATTTATACACCTTCTCCGGGTAAGGGATTCCCAGTCCCAGGCAAAACACTTGGAGGCGAAGCCGTGAAATAAAAGCTGCCCGGGCTGTTGATTTCTCCAGCCAATGACCTGTAATCAGCCGCCGTCTCGCAGACAACTGCCTCAGTAAGGCCCTCGGCTCTGACAACGAGGTACGTGGTGTTGGCAAGATCACAAGGCAAGGAAGGTCTTGGCTTTCCCACACGGCCCTCCAACACAAATCTCCCCCGGCAGCCTGCAGTCCAGGCCCTCTCAGCTCGCTGCCTGTAGGAAAGCTGCCCGCCACGAAGGCTAGCGCAAAGATGCGCCAAGGCGTAGAGCCGCACTAGAAACGTCAGATCTCCCCCGCCAAGAAATTGTAGGTTGAAGAAGTGAAATTGGTCCGGGCCGGGCTCGAAGCACGAGGGGCCGCGTTGACAAGAAGCTATCCACATGGTACTTGCCTCTTTCCAGCTCTACCACCCTCCTCTCCAAGCTATCCACTCGAAGCAACAACTGCTGAACTTGTAAACGAAAGAAGCTCAACAGCCAAGTCACTCATGCAAGTATGCAAGGAGCCGTCCAAGTCCTGGAGAACGGCCTTTGGGCACGCGGTGCCGGAGAGCCCACTTCAAAGGGTGGGTGCAAGGAGAGGAAGCCTGACCGGAAGGCCAGGAAGAAAGCCAAAGTAAAGCCTGCAAAGAGACCAATGCCAAGCCCAGCAAGTAGTGAAGGAGCCAAGGAGGTGAAGGCTGGAGGCCCACAATGCACAGGGCAAGCTAGGCCCCACCAGTTACTCTCTACCCCTGACCTCACCAGATCCAGAAAGGACCTCAACGAACAGGCTGCGGGCATCAGAGCTTGAGCATGGCGAAATCGCAATATGTAATTATTGAGGACAACGTCTCCATACGTCTCCATGACCTCTTCAAACCTTACAACCAAACACTATCTGAGAAGTCATCAGAAGTCCTCCTGGTCTCCTGGAACAAGTTCCTGCAGGCTCAATGAACGCACTTCCAAGTCCACAGAACTTCTCCGCCCAAGTCCATGGAACCTGTAGAACATCACCGAGACTTATTCTGTAGACCGGTGTTCTCCCATACCATTCATACCTTCTTGGACATTCTCCGAGTTCGATTTCTGAACCAAAAGGTGCATGCAGGACACCCAGGCAGCCCATTGTCCACTCTTTCTGGAGCTTTTCCATGGACCCACCGCGGCACCGTGGACCGCGCGACCAGCTGCGACCTCCGAAAACGCCGCCGGTCCAGGAGGGCCCGCTGCTGGGCCCAGCTGCGCAGGTGGCGGCGAGGTCAGCATGGCTCGGATCATGTTCAATCCGCACAGCGTGTCAAGCGTGTTGCTGTGTTGCACGTGTGTGTTGTGTCCTGGTAGTTGAACATGGTCATGGTTGAGTTCTGGTTGGCACGGCCAATCGTGGGGGTTCAAGCCAGACTCTGCTACCTCATGCCATTCGATTTCGAGGTTGACTCACTTGCATGAGCTCCGTCGGCGGCCAACTCCCTCGACCAAACCAGGCAACCCACGACTCACCCAACAGCTCCTGAGCTCGGCGCATCGCCCTGCCCGAAGGTCTGGCCGTACTTCGTGAACCTCGGCGGTTCGTGTGGACGAAGCGCCCCATCCCGAGAGGCCACCGTGCGATGTTCCACCATCAACGCCCACATCCTGTAGAGCCACCTGAATCACTTGTTTGACTTGGGAACCATGAACACGTCCCTCTTCTTGGCTTTTCACGGACCCCGCGGATGGATGTCTCCCAGACCGCATCTTTTCCCTTGGACGCCTGGCACCTGCCAAGGCACTGCCCCGCGTTGGACTTCGTGGCCGTCCCGCCATAGCCGAAGGACCACCGGTCGGTTCCTCGGCAGGCCGGAGGAATTGGACAAATGGACCTACACTCTGACTCACTAACATGGACGTGGAAAACCACGTGTTTGTAGAGGAAAGTAGTCTTCCAAGTTAAGTGACCATTGTCCACTTCCATGTTAGTGAGTCGTTGGGCCAGCTGGGGCCCCTAACCCAGCTTCATGGTCGCTTCAGCGCAGGACCAACCTGGTTGAGGCTGAACGAGCACGAGCTGCTCAAGTGCCAACAGGAAGGTTCAATGACTATATAAGGAAACATGGCGCGGGTGACGGCAAAGGGAACTATGAAAGAACTGGACGCTTGTCAAAAGCATGAGGGATGATGGGGCATGCTTGAGCTGCTGCGCTGGAAACCTGCGCCTTCCGCGTCTCGTGGTCCACCAGGGTGCGCGTCTTCCAGGTGTCTCTTCCCAGTGAGTTTTAAAATGACGGGCCCCCACCCTCACCAAATGGGCTCTTCATCTAGTGCCGCCTTAACTGTGATCTCATCTAGCGTCTTGGCATTCTGCCATTGTCTGCAGGCAGAGGGTGAATTTGAGGCCAGAATGATTATAATGTAGACATGTAGACATGTAGACTCTTGATTTATACACCCCCCATATGAAGAGGATGTTCAAATGGGGGGGGTTGCGTCCTCAAGAGTCGACATTACTGCGCTGGATGGCCTGCCAACCGCTCACATCCCAGCTCTTCACCGCACCGACAGGGCGACCCAGCCCACGCGTAGGTTCCCACCACTTTCGTTCCACACCTGCCGCTGGTCTCAAACACTGCTTGCGATGCTGAGCGAATGGTCGTGTGAATTCATGTGAGAAGGAGCAGCTCAACCATGACTGCCATGACTGCAATGCTCAAAAAGTTCAACTTGACAATGCTCAAAACATGACTTCCTCCACAAACACATCACGCCGAAGAGCCAACTCACCGGCGGTGTCACGTATGTGTCACATCATGTAGACTCTTGATGCGGTTTCAGAACGAAACAAGCATGAAGCGTAAAACCGTAAGTCACACACAAAATGGGGTGGGTTGAGATACAATCAACCGTCTAAGCTACATGACCCAACCAATACGAAGCAACAAGACCAGGCGACGTCTGGCGATCTCTCATCCGATCGGGTCGGCATTCGGTCGCGCACGCAGAAGGCCCAGCGCCCCGAGTTGGCCACGCCATGGGTGGCACGCACACCGACCTGAGCCAACAGCAAGAGATCAAACTCCTGGGAATTTGAAGGGGTGACCAACACATGAGAACACGCGGACTTTTTAACAAGTCGTAGGGTTGGTCACCAGGTCTCAGAATGTCTTGAGGTGCTCTCATCCCACAAGCCCCACGTCTGCGTCTCGGTTGTCAGGAGCTGTTTTGGTCATTTGTGTCATTATACATGCCGGGCTAGTGAGTGACCATTCGTGCTTGTTCTGCTTGGCCACTCAGCCTTGCAACTTTGCAGTCAATCTCCACTCAATGCCCAATCAATCATGCTGCGGCAAATCACGTTCAAAGAAACAGAGCGCCTACCTGATGTGGCTTTAGTTTCACAACCACCTCTCATTCTCAATGCTTGCTTCCAGAAAGGAGGCCCTGCCGTTTCCCTCCACCAGCGCCAGGCATCCCCACCCACTGTCCACCCGACTTTCGCTTCGCCTGGCAACCAACTGTTTTGCATGGCGAACCGGACAAAGAAAGAGGGATCGAATTCACAGATGTCCGCATCCCAGCCTTTTGCCGACCGTTGCTTTCGCCTTGGAAGTCTAAAGCAATGCTTCAGCTGCTCCAAGCTGATTGGTGGATCTCTACGTGCGTTGGGAACAGAGCTCTTGGTGTCTTGGTGCGTTTCAAGTAGTGTCTTGGGGAAAAGTGGCGCATGAGAGTACAGGGGGGTCACTTCTTTACCTACACGGACTGACAGACTTCTACACACAAAGGATGGTCACTTTTGCCCAAGTGCTCAATGAAAGGGCAAGCAGTTGCAATGGATGACTATGCCTACGGCCGATGGATTTTCTTCAACAAGGGCAACCACATTCCAGCAAGATCGGGTAAATCAAAGGTGTCTGACATGAAAATTATCCAAACAAAGGCAAGCACCCAGCAGCGCCAAACCATGCTCTCGATCAGCAGGATTTAAGCGCAGTCCAGTTGACACCATGGCAGTCTGGCGAAGTCAGGGTCCTCTGCGCTGTGTGCATCGTGATATGGGGTTGTGAGTTGTTGTGATCACCGGTCTTGTTGAACGAAAACGCGCCAGCCCAGCTGAACAACAGGACGAGTAAGGCTAGTAAGGACTAGTGACTAGTAAGGCCCAACTGCGGCCGACCATCTCCACACCGGTTGAGGCGGTTTTTGTTTGGGGCCCATCCTGGGCTGGTCTCTTGCGACCTGGACTTGGTTCGAAGGGAGTTCGATATTCTTCGGCTCAATCTCACGGCGGCCCAGCGGTTGGCGCGCTCTTTCAAAGTCCAGTGCAGTGCCACCAGCTGTGATGAGGAGCTCTTGTGCTCACATGTCCTTTGTCCCTTCCACGTCAGCAGCTGAGCCGAAACGCATAGGCAAAACGTAGACTCTGCTAGGATCATTCCAGAGTTGATCCAGAAATCTGGTGCTTTTTTAAAATTAACAATTGGGCAATACAGTGTCAAGAGGCAATACCAAAAGGCAATACAGTGTCTTTATATATATATATACAAAAATACGCATACCAAGAGGCAATAAGAATATTGTGTATGTTATTCCGTTTGCATATGTGCATCTGTAAACGGACGCATGAAGACCGAGATGCTTGGCAATCACTTCGGCTCCGCCGCTCCGCCCCCCCAGACGAGCCGCGCCAGTTTTTCTGCGAAGCTGCTTGGCATGGCCTCCGCCTCAGCAGTGAATCGGATTGGCTTCACTGTTGGTTGATACAGCCCCCCCACAGTCGAATGGTCCTTTTTGGGGGTTCTTCATAGTCAGCATGATACAGTGGGGCTAGAGGGGTGTGAGAAGCCTCATGAGCGGTTGCGAGGGCTCGTGGATTGTCAATGGATGATCAGCAGAACCACATACCAACAACAGATCCAGAGTTCCACAGCCCAAATGAAGTGCACACATGCCAGCAGAACCGGGTTCCATAGATGGTTCGGATCAGAGATGCGCATCGATCTCGCGGACTACTTAGTGACTTAGTGACTCGTGACTAAGCATCAATGAGGCTTTTGTGGCTTCCTCAGCTGCCAATGAATGGCCTCACGGTGCCCAAAACCCCGTTTTACCCTGGTAGGTGGACCCCGTAGTCCTTTCCGTTCATCTGTGGTCAACCAGGGTCCCCCAGTTTTCACCCACAGCCTCGGCTCTCTGGCAATGAGAAGAAAACATAGGGAAAAAACGAAACGACGCGTTCTTTTCGGATAGCCCGCTCGACAGAATCGACATAGGCCCATGCTGTACTGCATGAAAAGTGGGCCAGGCCTTGCGCCAGCAAAGCCACAAATGGATCATGCTGACTTTTTCGGTGCACAGAAGCCAGAGCGCACTACTTGGCACGCTCTCGCGGCAACACTTGGTCTCTTGGTTCTCAGAGCAGCGGGGCTCCTTCAGAGCTTTCTGCTGCAACAGAAACGAGCTTTTCGAGCTTTGCCACCTTTTCCTTCAAGGATTCACTTTCCTCCTTCAAGGTCTGGGTGTCTTCTTTCAAGGACCTGCACTCTTCTTTCAAGGACCGGCACTCTGTGGTCACAGATTGGATCTCATTCTTCAAAGATTGGTTTTCCCTGAGCAAAGCCAACATATGTGATCCCATCTTGGCTGCCATGTGCTCTTCCACCTGATCCGCTCGCCCCCGCTCCCCACAAAGCTCGCAAGGCACGGGACGCGCTTGGCACTCCTCCTGGTCTCCCAGCGGTGGAAAGTGGTGGAAAGCGGAGTTGGTTGACCTCTTGCACCCAACCAGTTTCAACATGTGCGTTCATGGTATAGTATAGCCCGTTCCCTGGGCCCAGTGGGGCCCAGGGATGATGATGGTTAGTAAAGTCCTTTCTCTAATAATGCTTTACCAACTGTTATATACAGGTAATGGGACACCCCCAATTCCAACAAGAAGACCCACCATATGCCATATGAGAACCATCCGTTCGGAAGCCTGGCGAAGCAAACTACAAAAAAGGTTGGAATCTCCAGGACACCCATTGACACCTCACTGACCCGAGACTGACCCGAGTGACCTGGTGCCAGGACTTGGATGTTCCCGCCGCTTGGACTTTCGACCGCACCTCGATGGGAGGAAGTAGCACAACAAATGTAACAGTGGCGTGCCCAGTCACCAAAACAGAGCCTCCATAACACTAGGTTAGTGTATGTATATACATAGTATAGTAATGTATAGTATAGTTAAACTCTGGCTGACATATTTTAACCGCAAATCCCTTCTCCAGAAACAAATGAGAGCTCATGGCCCCGGTCGACGAACCATACCCCACCCATAAATCCTGATCACCGGCGAAACGGCATTCATTCCACATCGAATCTACGTCGCTTGAGTCGGTCCTTCTCATGGATGGAGATCTGGTCAGCCAACACCTCCTCACCACAATGGCAGCATGTCACTGCGCGCTTGGCACAATGGGACACATGCGTCTCCTTGTCGCCCAGACGGAAGGTCTCTTCGCAGCCCAGGGGGCATCGGACCATGAGATTCAAGATCTTCCGTCGGTCACGAGGTGCCTTGACAATGGTGTCACCTGCTTCCCTGCAAACTGGACAGCTGGGGTTCTCTGCAACCCATCTAGTCCAGCATAGCTCGCAAAAAAGGTTCCCACAGTCATGTGCTAACGCGTTGCGGGCGACCGACAAACAAATGGCGCATTGCATGCTAGTGGCTTCCGCGGGGTCCAGCCACTGCTCATCATGACCAGCTTCAAGACTCTCCGACGGAGCAGCTGCTGGAGCAGCTGCTGGCCGCTGGCCGCTCGAGCTTGGCTCACTCGCGGCTTCCGCCGCAGTGTCGGGCTCGACTGCACCCAGGGGGGCCCAAAGGTTCTCCCACTGCCTTGTGGTGAACCAGCCCTCACGGACTTCCCTGACGACATAGGTGTCACCCACAGAGAAGGCCAGCGTCCTTCCAGGGCATCCGGAAAAGCTGACGTCTCCAGCTTCTTGTGTGAACCTCACGCGATCCCCCACACGGATGTGGCTCTCCAGCTCCGCGACGATCAAATCATAGTTGCCCTCCTTCCCCACCCGATAGCTGTTTGTTCGGCCACTGTGGTCCCACTTCACAGTCACCCAGCCTGGATCTGAGTCAGCCTCAGTGGTGCCTAAGCCTCCTCCATCCTGGTCACCCCAATCCCAATCAGGACCTCTCCTCACACGGATACCCGCCTCTGCAGTCCGTAAGACCTCGCCTGGAACGGGGCGTGCGTAGGGTGGGGAGGTCGCATCCACGATCAAATCATATTTGCCTCGTTCACCCACCCGGTAGCTGTTTTCACCACCCAAATCCCAGCGCACTCGCACCCACCCTTCTTCCGTGTCGCCTTGGATGGTGGTGCCGAGGCCTCCATGATCCTGGGGTCCCCAGTCCCAATCAGGTCCCCTCCTCACGCGGATGCCCAAGTGTGCTGATTTCAACACTTCTCCAGATCCGGAAGGAGTAGGAGTAGGTGGAGAGAAGTCGATGACCAAGTCATGACTTCCTTGTGCACCGACCCTGTAGTTGTTGGCCCTTGTGGCGCGGTCCCACCTTACACGAACCCAGCCATCTTCATCAGCACCTGGCACCGTGGTGCCTGGACCTCCTCCATCCTGATCCTGCCACCTCCAATCAGGCCCTCTCTTCACTCGGACGCCCAACTGAGCGGACTTCAGAACTTCCACGGGCTGCGCGGAGTCGATGATGAGGTCGTAGCTCCCTTCGGCACCGATTCGGTACTTGTTGCGCCGGCCTGCATCCCATTTCACCCAAACACAACCATCATGATCATCCCCAGAAAGGGTAGTGCCAGGACCTCCTCCGTCTTGGTCACCCCACTTCCAATCTGGTCCTCTCCTCACTCTGAGTCCACTCTGTGCAAACCTCAGGACTGCAGGCATAGGATCTCTTGCGACCATCAGGTCGTACTCTCCTTGTGCACCTACTCGGTAGTTGTTCTCACCACCGGCATCCCATTTCACGGCCACCCAGCCCTCGGCATTGGCGCCTTCCTTCGTGGTGCCTGCACCTCCTGCGTCCTGGTCATCCCACTTCCAGTCAGGGCCTCTCCTGACTCTGACACCCAGCTGAGCAGATCGGAGCACCTCACCCTCAGCCGCCATCTAATCAGCTACAATTGAGCCCAACACTGGCCCTCGGCCCGGCTTGACATCAACCTCAAAAAGATCAGGAGACCCCTAAAGAACCTCCACCACCCGGTGAGAAAAGTGAATGAACACGCAGCGTTGATGATCTTTTGCGACAGGCCCACGTGGAGTCCCTGATCTCTTCCTTCGCTGCACTCCATCTGAGGCGCCCACCGATCTTGGCACCTGAGCGACGAAAATGCACAAAGTTCATAGATGTGTTTGTGCAACATGAACCTTCACAGGAAGCTTCATTGTGTGTGTGTGTGGGCGCTCGCTTCCTCAAGGCCCATAAGAAAAGGAAAATGTGCGAACATCCAGCGGGTGGAAGAGCCTCTATTCTGATGCATGCCCATGCTCAGATACATGCGAAGGCAGAAAACATCTTAGTCACTAGAAACGGGAATGGGTGCTCGATGCCTCTTTCTCGGCTTTAGATTGTCCCATCATCTGCCTACGCTGCGCATGGCTCGTGATCGTTTTTTAAGATGTCCACTTCAGGGGGGGCAACTCCATGGATTCAGTTTCATCAGAAACCACTTCCAGGATATGTTTCATATGTCTATGCTGTGCGGCTAACACATGCCAACTCAATAGGGTTTCTTGTACTGTCACACCGCATGCCCCACCGCAACGCCTGGCCCACCTCCGCCCCCAAACAGAAAAGAACACGCAGCTGAAAGGGCATGTTTTGGCCGGTTTGGGCTGCGCTTCTGACTCGAGGCTACCACCACTCGTTGTTGTTTTTGGTATAGTGATCCCCAAATAGATAGTGGCATGGATGCACAAATACATGTTCATACATGTTCTACGTGGGGATCTATATGCTTTACTTATTGTCTATCCATTTGAGGGTCTATAAGAATAAGTCTTCTACTAGCCACATGCTTCTGGCACACCTTTTTTTTCGGTCCATTCGCAAAGTTTCTAGGGATGGCAACTGCCAACGAGCAAAAAGCGTTGATCCGTCACATTGCAGACTCACACATGATCCTTGTCCCGTAGATTGAGTGGTATGGGGCTCGGGTACGGTAGGCTTGCTATATACCTCAGGGTTGGCTGTGCGTGTACAGTTTTTGGTTGGGACGGTTCCAAAATCTAGAGTCTAGAGCCTGCTTAAATGTTGCTCGTTCTTCTCCACGCCTTTAGCAGAGCATGGTTGGGGATCTAAGCAGCATGCTGAATGCGCAAACTGCGCAAACGTCTGCGGATATGGAAGTCCATGCAGCAACCCCTCTCGGCAGAAAAAAACATGAGCTGGGCAGTGTGTTGCACAGTGCCCTGCTGTGCTCTGACTTGTGTCGACGGAGGAAAAACCATCAAAATCCGTCCTTTTTGGTGGCCAGCCATTCATGAACCGAGTGTAAGTTGGTGTAAGTCATCAGCTTAGTGTGCATCAGCATCTTGCAAACAGAAAACCCCTTGGAACATGCATTGGTAGTCTGGTCACCTGAGTCACCTAGCAGTTCTCACAATGAATTTGGCTCAAGCTTTCAGAGTCTGGGACTGCCTGGATTTCAGCCACCTGCTTCACTTGCTTCTGAAGCTCATCGACTCGAAACTCCAAGGCTTGGCTCTTCTGGTGAAGACTTTGGTTCTCCTTCTTCAAGCTTTGGTTCTCCTTCTTCAGGGCTTGGCTCTCGTTCAGTAGGGCCAACATGTGCGACCCCAGGTTGGAGAGCAGGTGAGCTTCCAGCTGGTCCAGCGGAACCTGCTCCCCGCACAGGTCACAAGGCACCAAGCGTGCTGGGCACTCGTCCTGTCCCGGTTGGATGGACGTCCACCTGACCTCCTTACCTTTGGGCTTCCAACAACCCAACAATAGAGAAAAACAGAGGGGAAACGGTCCACCAGCGGAGGCTCACGGGGAGACTTTTGGGGTCCACTGAACACATGTGGCGCCGCGGCTTCACGATGTCAAGCTTTGATTTGGTGTGAGCTGCCAGGCGTCCGCTGAACAGCAGGAGGGGCCTCGTAAGGCCCATGTCAGAACTGCAAAATGGTTGCATGACTGCTTGGCCACCGGTCGCTCCGGTGAATGGCAAAAAATAGCACGATGTGAAAAGAGGTTGCGTAGTAGGGGTGGACGGAACCTAGCCAAAAAAAATATACTTGAGGCCAAGGGGGGGGGGCGAAAGCTAGCGCTCCAGAATGGGAAAGTGGAGGGCAGCGAGGTAGGAAAAAACACGGCGCTCTTTTTGGAGGCAGGGGTGAAGAGTCCTTTATATGTGGCTCTTTGCCCGGATCCCCCTGCGAGAGAAGAGAGAGAGAGAGAAGAGAGACGGAAAGACGAGAGACAGAGAGGAGAGAGAGAGAGAGAGAGGAGAGAGAGATGAGAGAGATGAGAAAGAGATGAGAGAGATGAGAGAGATGAGAGAGATGAGAGAGATGAGAG